GGGACACCAAAGGCTAGGGGCTCTAGAACCACCATGCTGCAGACAGATCGAGGCGTGCTGCATTTTGTCTGCCGTATCAACCAGTCGGTCTACTGGCATCGAATGGGTGTCGCGACATCATTCAATGTGCCATCTCACCGGTGTGGGGGCACTCCATGCAAACTGCAAAAAGAAACGAGGACATGGGGGCGGGGCCGCGGGGATGTTGCAGCATCATGGGACGGGGTGACGGACTGGTCGTCGGCAGACCCCTGGATACCGTCAGCTGGATATTTACATGTTCATTGCATATTCATCTCTTTACTTCGAATGGACGATCTTACCCTCTCTTCACGATGCGAGAGGTTTGGTTTTCAACCCTACACCTTTGTGTGGATCGAGCGTGCGTATTCCACGTGTGAAGGCGGTAGTTCAGTCAAGCCCATCGACCCAGAATGACGCGCATCCGAACACTTGCAGCCCTCGGTACCTTGGATAAAAGGCTGTACGGTACCTCCGTACATCGTAGAAGGAGCTGCGAGCACGGCTTGACCTTGATACTAGGCAAGGCATGAGAGAGGCGCGGTGCCAGGGGACATTCCGGATGGTTTGATCGCTGTCCATGATTTCATTTCTATTCGTACGGTGGTACAATAAGGATTAAGGTCAGAGGAAGGGCTGTTGCTTTTTCTGCCCACCCATGCCCCGCGTCACGGGCCGTGACAACTTGTATGTAGGCTAGAGCATGCAGTCCAGAAACGCCGTCCTTGCCAAGAAGAGTGTGATGGGCAACACATGTGTCTATTGGCTCTAGACGGATCTCCGGCAGGACATGCGTGCAAATCTCCCGATCATACTGAAATGGGGAGTGCATGTTAAGCTGCTGCCTTAGGCTGAGCGTCAGTATAGGTGGTTACGGCCGATGCCTAGTCCTCACGTCGTTTATTGTCTCATTCGCGTGATAGCTCCAAACCAGGTTGGCATTGAAAGTCGGGGAGCTGGACTCACCTCCGGTGAGATTTTGTCTTTTGAATCAAGCATAATTCCAAGGCTACTTGTATTCAGCCGAGAAGGTTACAGGCACGGAACCTAGCTTCGAGGGTGAAGGCACGGCATGGTCTTCGTAGTCCCAGTTCACGGGAGCAACGTTACTGCAATCAACTTGTTGATAATTATTCGACTACCTATAACTAACTTCTCTGAATACCTTCGGACAAACAGGGGACCGCCCTGCGTCTCCTCGTAAGATAGACATTGGCGTCGGTTACAATAGTGCAAAGGCATGTGAAGTATTGATATCAGCTTGCATCATGCATGCTTGGCACCTCGGATTCAGGCTGGGGGAAACATCACAGCAGATGAAGAGAGATCAATGATCCTAGCACAGCTGCTACCATCTGCATCAAGGGCGCTACCAATGGCACATTTCTGATAGGGCTGCAAAAAGGGACCTAAGTCCGAACAAGAAGACCTCAAGGGTGATGGATGCAGCAAGAAGCCAGCCATTCTGCCCGGCCAAGTTTGGCGGAGCACTCGTGGCTGGCGGCGAAATAAGCAATATCTCTGTGCCACCAGGGCCGCCCCGGGCCTTCGTGCCTCGCCCCGGCCCTTACTTCGCCTCTCTTCTTAGTGTTGTCCCATCACCTCGACAGTGGACACGTGTGACACTGATGTTGGCAGGCTGGAAAAGGAGGAAACACACCCATCCCTTATCCGGACGTGAGATCCTACACAGTGTTCTCTCCGACAGTGTCTATTCGACACTAGGTCTCGGGCAGAAAAAGGAACTAAAGGTCCGAGAGGGGGAAAGAGGAAAAGAAGGCTGGCACCGCTGGTACATGTCTAGGGCGCACTCCAAATCCCTGGGCCGCCATCAAATCTTTGGGACGCGTTGATGCTCTTGGATTTGTACACCCCACCACTAAACAAGCCACTTCAGCTAAATGCCAGTGGCGCGGTGACGACAGGGCCTTGTCACACAAGTATATCTCCACCACTCAACCCGACAAGAACTGGATGTTTCTCCTTGTACTTCAGTCACTTTTCGGCTCTCTTGCTTAAAGAGGCCTCACCATTTCAAGCAGCATCTGCATGCAAGGATCTTAGTAAGTCTCCGTGATAACAACCGTGATGCAGCTGTTTGAGACTCGACGCTGTACGATGCGCCGATGCCAAGATCGCCCTCGCATCCATTCCTCTCCCCTTCAGTGTAGCTTGCCACGCATACCACCCAATTCTGACAAGGACAATATGAAGACATGGCTGGGAAGATGGGCCTGGCCAAAACTACAGACAGTGGCGGCCGGTTGTGCTCAGTCCACTGGGGAGTAAATTACCGTCAGCATGATACTTAGCATCTGCGACGGCACAGTGGAAGGGAGTTGAGATCTGATATGTGACACAATTGGCCCGAACTACTCTTGGATTTACATGCATTAGCTTCGCTTTCATGAGATAATAAGCCTCTTGAACGAGAAGACGTTGCGCTGTCATGCGGAGCAATCCGGCTTCCTCACTCTCACATTGTGTAGGTTCCCCCTCTTTGCATGCCGGCCTCAAACCAAACGTAGAACAAAGCTCATCTACATTAGCTTCTACATCATGGGCTTTCACTGCCTTTGTTTCATGCTAACTTTTCGTTTTAGGGGTCACTAGGGGTATGGCGCAGATGCTGTGGCAGGACGATCCTCGGCGGGACTAACATCATTAAGATTACTTCGCAGAAGCTCGGCCTCCGTCTGTCACTTGGTTTTCTCCTCGGAAAACGCCAGCGTGTCCTCTGAATATGAGTTCATATAGAAAATACTGAACTTGCTCTGGCTTTCCTGAAGATGCTCTGACTGATGGGTAACCCAGGCAGAAGACATTATTTTCGCCAAATCTCAGGGTCGCTTCCAGGCCCCCATCACGTATAGCTTGTAGGCTGATCGTGAATAGTATGTGCCTAGTTCAAGGTAGTGAGCCTCCATGGTGGTTAAGTAGGCAAGTGATTAGGCACTTGTGAATTCTGCTTCCTCGAATCCTTGCACTGTTGCCAGGAAATTCAGTCCATCGGTATCCGGGCTGCTGACTGGCCGTTCCGGCCTCACGATGTCCACGGATAGGCACGAAGTACCTGTCATGGCCAAGATCATTCTGACCGCTTTCTGTTTCACCGCAAGCCCCAAAGCTAGTGGAAGTCTTTCTTCAGCTGCCGACTCTTGAGACAGTCTACTGTTGTGCGACCCCGGCGCCCCTTAATCCTCACTTCGTATTGTTCGGAACCTTCGGCGACACCTGTCACACTATGGGCTCTAGTGGGTGAAGGGTCCTAGACAGTATTACCCACATGCAAATTACGTGTGGTGTCAGGGCTCCCGAGTCCGTAGGGCTTAAGTATTAGCGCCCATTGGGGTGATGCTGTGTGGTTGAGAATGAGCTCGTGGCTCGAGTCTCTTGGATTCTCAAAAGACTACGGAGATAATAATCGGAAACTCGTGAAGTTGCGACTGCCCAAGCTGAAGAGTTATAGGCTATCCTGTGGGCTCACAGAAGCATTGTCGTCTCTTTCTGGTGACTAGGTAGTCGCTATCTGAAATTCAGTGTCTTGAAGCCTCGAGACAACGGCATGACAGGGTGTCGGGTAGGGGCTGAAGAGCGCTGTCAGGTCAATTTCAAGGAAATAGGTTTCGTTTCAAGTAGGCTATTTGTAAGGTTGCATGCTGCAGCCGGATGGCTCGTCACAGATCAGACCTTGGGCAACATAGACAGTCAGCTCAAGGAGGCTCGTGAGGGGTGTGCAGTCTGATTCTTGGGAATGTTCTACGAATACTTTCTCACGTTAAGCTCCAGATGGAGACATTGAGTTTAGTGGACTCAGAATGTATGCTGCTATGATGAGAACAAAAGCTTCAGGTTCTCGACTGAAGCAGACACAGCTCAGGAATCGGGGGTCCGCCGCAAACCCTCAAAACCAAATACGGGGGGGCGGGCGTTTCTCCATGCTCCATGTACTCTATATAGGCGCTTCAGGCCCAGCAATCATTGGTGATCATAGTGGCATGCCTTGTTACGAGAATATTTCCGAGCATACTGCCCCAGCCGTAGATATATTGCTTAAAAAAAAACGGACGATGCCTCGGTGTACTCGATTAAGCACCTCACGTAAGTTCTCGCACTTCTTGTACAGCGCTACTTTGGGTTAGACTCCAGCTCCCCGTCTCTCGACGTCCTCAAACTCGTAAGGGTTCAACTCAGCTCCCGATGCGGCCCAAGTGAACCCTCTAAAAGTTCGAACGATCCCAGACTCGGCTCTCTTGGATCGTTCTCCTTGGAGCGTGCAGGCGGCCAGGTCGTCAGCGACTCTTGCGGAGGAAACGACTCTCAATGGGGATAAGGGCCATCCCCGTTCGAGCATTCACTGGTAGACGGCTTATTAACCTCGTGAAGAAAGTCGCCAACCCGCAACGGGCGTAGGTTGAGGCTTTGGAATGGAGAGCTATTCCCCTCCCCCTCTCCCCTTTGACCCCCCATCTATTAATGCATTCGTAACATGAGACCAATAATGGCGCCAAGAACGTGCAGTGAATAGATGGGACAGTACCTGATGGATCTTGATCTTTTTGGATTCGGTTAGTTGTGGCCGCCGAATATTTCTCCGAGGCCGCGTTCCCGGGTATGCGCCCTGTGAAATCGGTACAATCAAACGTTCAACTGCCTTCGAGGCATCGTGTGCTACTTATCCACCGAGTGATGTGAATTGAGACGAAAAGAGGACCAAGAAAAATTTCGCTACGTGAATCTGGCTGTGTCTCATTAGTTATCTCGAATCTCGGGAGGGCTCTATCACCACCCACATCCACGGAATAGCCCTCGCAGTCTCAGCCCAACAGACATATTCATAGTCTATCCACCTGTTCCCGCGGTCCATAGTCTCAAATCTAGAACCTACTAGCGCTTGAAAGCATTTTCCTATTTCGTGATAGCGACTTGGCCTGGTATACGTGCGCCTCCACATTGCTTCTAGGTCCTTCAACCTTCGTCTACGAGCCGACAGGTCCATCGGACCGGGGAAATGTGACAGACCAAGACAGACCTTCTCCAGACGGCCTAGACCAGAAGGAGAGTAAGACGCACAGTGCGTTTAAGAAAAGTATGTCAGCGCGAAGTACTCCTTGACGGCGATCGAGGGTGGACGGCGGCCCCATCCTCGGGCTGCGTCCACCCTCGGCGAGAACTCAAATGCGAACCAGCTAGGTCACTTTGTGTAGTAAGTTGCAGACTCACATGATCAAGAACGCGGTAAGGGTCCGCGGTAAAGATCATGTCTTGGGTATTCTAGAGATTGTAAGCATCCGTACTTCCCCGGAGAGCGCCTTGTTGGTTTAATACCGGGGTTCAGATTGCTTGCTCCCTGATGTGGAATCAACGGCCGGATGCTGGGCCTGCACCCTGGTATCGCCTTCATGCAGCCTATCCGCCGCAGGATCTCGAATCCTCCACAGGCTCAACGCCCACGCACTAACCCCAGTCGCAAGATTAACGTACGCACGAGCTAAAAGGTGGTCTTGATGGGCCACAGATTTCCGGTAAATCCGGGTCAACTTTGGATTCGTCCACGTCCTCTGGTACGTCACTCAATTCGATGTCTACGCCTGTGGTGGGCCTAAAGTCCAAAGATACGGCAGTAGGGAGCGCCGCCGGTAATGCTCTCGCGCCGCCCCCGTCAGACACAGCCTACACAGGTGAGCATGCTTGGTCAACCGCTGGATGATTTATGACTACAAACAGGGATGCCGTTGCATGCCCACAATCCGCATACAGGAAGAAGAAATGTCTCCCTGAATGCTGGGAAAGACAGAGAAGTAGTGGGATATCATGGCTGGTCTTCAAGAACGATGGTGTAGATCCTCGAAGCGGGGAGCCGCCAAGATAGCAAAATGTCATTAAAGCGGGATGGGGAACCGCGTTATCTTACCATACATGTATTTTCAAAGAAGAATAGACTTCGGATGCTTCAAGCTACAGTTTTCCATCGGTATCTTGCCTTCGGAGACACCCACTTGTCCGACTTGTATATCTTCTCAAGCCAATCCTTTTTCAACATTATCCCGAGCAGCATCGAGTCACGAGATCTGACAGTCGATTAACGGGTGGGAACACAAGCCAAGTGCGCCTTACCCTTGTCGTCGAATTCTCCCGGTCATTCGATTGAGAATTCGGTTTGCTCGTGCATCACCGGTTCATGCCACACCCAAGAAAACCACTTGCTCTTTGCGATAACTGCAGTCACACTCGATTTGATACCAAAAGATGGAGGATTCAGGAGCTCAATGGTCCGAGCACTGTGACCCCCTCGTCTTTGTAAGCCATTCCTGACCCAGCTCAATAACTCTCGCAGTAATTCTGCCCAGGCTACCTTCTTCCTAGAACCGTGAAAAGACGGTCTGAGTCAAACGAGAAGGGAGAAGGAAAATGACTAATCAGAATTCAGAACACCAAGACTTTGTACGATGCTGGATGCTCCGTTTACTCGGCGCCCTATGATTGCCAACACAGAGACTCGGCAACTCAGGGCCACTGGCAGTACGGCACTCTTGAAAACCAGAACAGTCCGCAATGTTTTCACCAAGCCATCAATGGGCCCTACAATGTCGACGCGCCTCAAGCTGTTAGCTGGACTCCAGCTCCATCCTCCCTCGATCATGGCTCATCGGGTGGGTTAATTCAGCAAACAAGCACTCTTCCGCCTAGAGTTCCATGGTCGGTCGGCCTGGTCTACAGCTGCTTCGTGCATCAGAACGATGGTACTCGGCCGCAAGAGAATCAAACTATCGACCGAGTGGTCTCCCTAAATGGTCAACACTTCAACCACGATGGGCGGATGAATCATTGGGAGGTTCCCGGGGAACGTGTTTCGACTACGGCGAGCTTGCAAATACCATCTCCGCCGAGATCAACAACTCTATCTTACGGTTCTGCTAGTCCAGAGGATATTGTTTCGCCTCAAGAGAATCGTCTGCTCCATCGCGGTTTCCCGTTATCTGCCGAACTCTCTCAGCCAACTTCGATCAACCCGACTTCGCGGGGCGCCGTGCCTCATCAGCAACCTGAAATTCCTTCTCTGCCTAGTCCACAAGGCGATAGTCGAATCAACAACAAACAATCGCGGTCTCAGAAGCAAGCCTGGAAGCAGTGCTTGACCTCTCCGACAAACAAGTCGAGTCCGCTTGAGCCACCAGAACAACCGGGAAACGCTTGTGGAGTCAAGTCACTTTCTGAAATGTCTTCCAAGCCTTCTCTCTACCATAAGCCAGCGCGGAATGCGGCAGCAAAAGAAAGGGATGAGGGTGGCCGGCTGTTGGAAATTGTCCCTCGGCCAAAAGACACCGAGTCACAAATCTCCAGTCAAGGACGAGAGATAAAGTCAGCTGGTCGACGGAAACGCGTACTGACGGACGAGGACCGACGCGCTGTGGCCGACACCCGCAAAATTGGCGCGTGTATTCGATGTCGTATGCAGCGTCTCAAGGTGAGTTGGCTATGTCCTCTTCCAAGATTGGCAAGGTCGATTGCTACAAAGAAGATGGGATCCTCGATATTGACCATGCGATATTAGTGCGAAGTTGACGCGGCAAATCGCGATGGGCCCTGCTTGACTTGTGCGAAAGTCGACTTGACTTCTTCAAAAGTCATTCACCGCCAGCCGTGCATACGAACCAAACTCGCCGATGTCGTCCTTTACAATGTCAATTACGCTGGAATCGACACGAAGCTGGGTCTTCCCGCCAAGATAATCGAGATCGAGAAGTGGGTTGACGAAGGTGAACATGACATCCAACTCGTAACGCGGGGACTGTGTTCTGTACCGATGAATATCCGGGTTCGCAAGTTCGACAAAGAGTCCATGCCGACGGACCAAATCAACTACTTCTGGATGAACGAATACAAGGGCGAGGTAGAAGAGACGAAACTCGAACCGTATGCTCTTGCCAGTGTGAGTTCGTCGAGGGAGCAGCTGGAAGCTTACATCGAGGCCAACGCGGTGAAGGGCTGGGAGGAGCAAGCCTATCGAGGTGATACCGACCAGCTCATTTCGAAACACTACAAAGCGGCAGTGGAGTACTACAACGATTGTGACCAACATCCCATCGACCGGCGTCTGTTACTCAACTTGTTCAAGTTCCGTTTCGCCCAGCGTGAGTGCTTTTCCCTCTCTGAATCCAGGTTTCTGCATCAATTAAGTTGTGAAAATGTGGCGTTACATGTTCTAACAAGACTCCTTCGCTAGGCATCTTGACACGCCCTTCATGGATCTATAACAAAGATCCGAAGAGTCAAAATTGCCTAGGCATGACACCAGCCAAAGACGAATATCACCCTTTGATCGACAGAATTCCCACCCCGCCAACGACTACCTCGCAACTTCGTTCTATGGCTCATCTGCGACTGGTCAAGTACCACGAGCATATTCTTGAAGACCTTGAGAAACTCTGCTGCAAGAAGATTCGAACATCCTTCTTCACGGTTTATCTCGTGACGTTCATCATGCTCCACGAGCTTGATGCGACTACGGAACACTACAAGAAAAGCCCCTCCTTCTGCGCTGCAAAAGAGGTATTACGCGGTCGTCTACACAGCTTGAGGACTCTTTGCTGATGAAGACTACAGAAAGAAGATAAAGAAGAGTCCTACCAGCAATATTGCGAAGTTGCGAAGAAGAGCGCAAACATCCTTCTGCTTCATTGGCAATATTACCGACGCGCTCCCGAATCATACTGCGCTGCCGATGATTTCCTGGGAGACCATGTTGCCCGATGGTTTTGGACTGGCTTGCAAGAAAGACATGAAGGATTTTGCAGGCAGACCTGGAGGGACATGAAGAATGCTGGTAAGTGAAAACGCTGCCAACACTTACGTTTTAGCTTGACTAACTCTTTGGCAGGCCATTGTACCAATCAAACGTCCCCCGGAGATCCGTTTCACTGGATTTCTCAGATGTTTGATAGCGATTGGAGTCCGAAAAGTATATGGGACCGCGTAGATAACATTATCACAAAGCAGGAACCACCGGCTGAGCCGGCGTTCAAGCCGCGGAAAGCGACGAAATTGCGATGAATGTTTTGACGAATGGAGGCGCGTTGGTGATGGTTTTGCATGGAATACACGAGGAAGGATAGGACTGGTCATTTTAGTGGGAGGTACCCTGCATTTGGACATGAAGCTATCATGGCATGAACTACGATGACGACGAATAGAATCAAAACTCAAGTTGCCCGCACCTGGTTTGAACAGAAGTCTAATATATGGCTCTGAATCCGAGGCACCAATGTTGGGCCTTACAAATGAGGTAGGTCCCTTCTAGTCATGTTGGTTGGCTCTCTAGAATAGGTATATTCCAACACAAATGCAGCGTGGGTGAATGGTAAGGTACTCATAGAAAAAGTCGCACACGCGCTTCTGTGGCTAGCCTATCAAACTTTGCCGTTTCAGCCTTGCCGCACGCGTAGTATCTAGAATTATCCTAGCATGCTATAAATATTCCCCTCGAAAGTATTGGGCATATGTATTCTTGCTTCCCCTACCATGCTGGCCTCATCAACCTCCAGAGATGATCAAGTAGCTGCGTACTGGTAGCTCGTCAACCTAGTTGAAGCAGACCCAGGCGGACAACTGCGGCGTGCTTGTCAGCCTTGGGCGGCTTACTTGTCAGTAGTCTCAGGGGCACCTTAGAGACAATCTCTCCCAACATGATGCCTGAGACCTTCATTGAGAATATCACGAATACCACCTGTCATGGCTGACAACTGTTAGCACAGTACTATGTGTTGTAATCGAGTCATTTATTTCGACCCCCTCGGAAATCATCCTTCGGGCAATACTTTTTAAGCCGTGGGCATGAGACTCCAAGCTGTTGTCAATGGCCTAATTGATCTTCCTCCGGGTGAAGTCAAAATTTTGATGGCTTCGTGCGGCGAGCTCAAGCTGGAACCCATGATGAGTCTACCCATGATGAGTCTCTCATTCGTATCCTTTGAAGAGACACCTCTCGTGCAGCTGGGCAAGCGAAGCACTGGGGACAATCCTCGACGTGAGGTGCCTTAGCTAGCTGAGTGACTGCTGAAGGTGCCTTATTCAGAAGTAGGTAATCCGCAAATCATGCTAGAATACGATGAACAGGACAGCACGCGACAACGTTAGGACACCACCATACTCGTGCGGCTATCTCTACCACCAGAACGCGCTGCGTGCCTTATGTTCCGGCACGCCGGCAAAGGTACTAGCACTATGTAAACGAAGACGCGAGTCCCTATCTACACGCACCGAAAACGAAGTATCGTTCTCAACACACCTCGTGCGCCGATGCTGCCAGCACATCTCATAAGCCTTGCAAACACCAACTCAGGCCTCGCAGTAGGCAATATCGTCCGAGGGAACAAAAGTTCAAAAGTGATAGCACAACCTGGTTTCGATCCAGGGACCTCTGGGTTATGAGCCCAGCGCTCTACCCCTGAGCTATTGTGCTTGAGGCAGCCTGTTTAAAGGCAGATGCTTCGGTAAGACGAGGCTGGGATTTATGGAGCTTGAACGAGTGTGAGTCATCGTGGGTGGATTCATGGCAGCCCCACCGGATTTGATGAACGGTCTTTTCTTAAGCCGTTGTTGTACGAGAAAATATTGCCAGCGCAACATCACTTTACGGAAGAGAGCATGCAAAGAGGTCAAGTTATAGGTATCTTGCGCAGAGTAGACAATATTCCTTTGGTCTAGATTTTGACATCTATGTAGCTAGTGGGCGGGCCAACACGCCATGGTATATTCGCAAGACATGATATTCATGAAAAATGCACAGACTCCCATTTCCTCTCACCACACTCAACGCGTCTAGAAGAGCCAAGAAAGGAAGGTCTTGTAGAACCAACCTCCCTTGCCGCCCTTGCCACCGTTGGCCTCCTTCTCGGCAGCCTTGCGAGCGAGGAACTCCTCCTCCTCGCGGTCAATGATATCCTTTCCGGTGTAGAAGTCGGCCTCGTGGGGCTTGACGCCACGGGTCTTGTAGTAGAACTTGTGGCCGAAGATGAGGATGAGGTAGAGGGGAATGCCAAGGTAGCCGGTGATGAAGGTCTTGTACTTCTCTTTGCCAAAGTCGCCGCCAGTGAAGACATCGTAGTTCTTGGTGAGGGCGATGATGATGCAGAGGAACAGAGCGCCGTAAGAGCCCCAGATGCCGACGGGGGCGACGTAGGGCAGGATCTCGTCGGGGATGTTCTGAGCCTTGCGGGCCTTGCACCACCAGATGTGGGTGACGAGGATCGAGATCCAGGTCAAGAGACCGAAGATGGTGGTGAGGTTGACGAAGTAGCCAAAGACAGCCTTGGAGTCGTTGGACACGTTCATGAAAGCCAGAAGGGCGAACATGGCGGAGAAGCCGAGGGCGTAGATGGGGACACCACGCTTGTCAGTGCGCTTGAAGATGGCAGGGGCGGAGCCGTCAGAAGCAAGACCGTAGAGGGTACGGGAGGCGATGTAGAGATCCGAGTTGGATGCAGAGAAGACGAAGATGCAAATGCAAGCGTTGATGATGTGGGGGATGACCTTGACACCAGCGAGCGTGGCAGCGACGACGAAGGGGGAGGCGGAGGCACCGGTCTGGGCTTTGTTGGCGAAGGCGAGATCCGGAGAGTTGTAAGGAACGAGCATGCCGATGAGGAGGACACTGAAGCAGTAGAAAAAGAGGATACGGTAGAAGGTGAGCTTGATCGCGCGGGGGATCGTCTTGCGCGGGTTTTGAGCCTCAGCGACGGTGACACCGACAAGCTCAGTACCGAGGTAGGCGAAGGTGGCGTTGACCATGCAGGACCAGAAACCATAGAAGCGGCCGGCATCGCCAGTGTCGATGTACTCCCTGAAAGCACTTGGAGGTTGTTAGTTATGGAAACGAGTTGGTTTGGAGGGTGTAAGTTAGACATACCCAGGGTTCTTCCAGTAGCGGAATCCCTTGCGATCGTGGTCGGGGCCACCGCCCAGAGCCAGGACGAGAGAGAAGATGATGATTCCGACAATGGTGACGACCTTGAAACTGGAGAGCCAGAACTCGAATTCACCGAAGAATCTGATACCGAAGTAGTTGATGCAGACAATGGCGACGAGGAAGATGGCGATGAAGACACCGGGGTTGACCTTTTCACGGTCTACCCAGAACTGGATAACCAAGGCGGCGGCTGTGAGCTGGTTGGGAGTGACAATAATGTACTTGAACCAATAACTGAAAGGCAAAATCATAGTCAGCACCTGGTGCGGAGAGAGAATTGAGGTGAAATGGAGGGGGTATTGCGACTTACGTCCAGCCAAGGGCAAAACCGAGCGAGGGGTCGCAGAATCTCGAGGCGTAACCAGTGAAACCAGAAGAGATGGGCAGCCAAGCAGCCATCTCACCGAGACCAGCCATGACGAGGAAGACAATGAAACCGACGAGAGTGTACGAGATGAAGACGGAGCCGGGGCCAGCCTGGGCGAGAGCCTTGCCGGTTCCGACAATGAGACCAGTACCGATGGCACCACCGATGGCAATCATGGTGATGTGGCGGGCCTTGAGACCACGGTGCAGCTTCGTGTCTTCGCTGGTCTCGATACCGCGAATGTGGACATTCTCCTTGAGGTTGTCGTCGTAGGTCTGTGTTTGGTAGCCCGTCTTCTCGATGTCGTGGCCGCCGTGAGCGCCCTCCGAGGAGGACGCCCGCTTGACAAGGCCGTCGCTCATTGTTGCTGTGTGGCGACTGAGTGCGTCGTACACAGAATGGGATGAGACTCTACTTCTGGATTTGGGCGAAGACAGAAGGTTGGGGGATTGACAAGTGAGAGCTCTGGGAGCGAGAGGGATGGGAGAGAAGTGAGAGAGGGCGAGGTACACAACGAGGTAGGGAGGGGGGTTCGAGGTTCTTTAATTAAGATTTCAGCGCCGGCTCGCGGGACCAGGGACGGAGGCGCGATAGAGAGGCTGCCGCATATGAGGGAAGGGTATCCGTCCATAGGTAGCAGCTCGCATCCCGTTTTGACTGACACCCGGCGGCGCCATACCAGCGGGCGAGGCAAGACAGGCAGAATCATAGCTGTCGCTCACACATACATCCCATGTCGCTCGCAGGTTCGTGGGCTGGACCTGGCCTAGCTTGCTTGGGGGTCTTGATGGAGCCTGCAAGACTGGGGCACTGGCGTCGTGCGCTAAGATACACCCGTCAAGGATCCCTGTAGGCGTCGCCGAGTGGTAGTCGGAGACGGATGGTGCTTATGGAGTTCTACATTGTTTTGACTGTTGGTATTACCTTTGGATGTTGGTCGCACTATCTTTCGGTATCTCTTTTACGTTGCGTGTACATGCGTGCCCACAATGGAGACTACGGGGACTAAGGTACCCGCACCACGCTCGCGGTTCTTCGCAGGCTAGCCAGGTGATTGTGGAGAGATAGAGGGAGAATGTGTGTGTAAAGGCCGTGTCTCACAGACAGCTTCTCCATTCTCTCCGTTAAGCCAGTCCAGTCTCTCAGTCAGGGCCCAGCAGTAGTGTACAGTACCGCACTGGTCGAGGAGGGGGACTGGAGGATGAGTGAGGGGAGGGGAATTGTGGTGGAGAAAAAGCCTGTCTACCGGGGTACGAATGGGCCAGGAAACGACAGTACGTAGTAAGACAAGGATAGGCTGATTCTGTGGATGGAGGGGGGCCGTGGCAAGGGTTCACTTGTCTTGCGGACAGGAAGCAAAGACAAAGGCAGCATGGGCAGTTGAGTTGTGGTTTGTAATATCTGTTGGCTGTGATTGGGCACTGGAAAGTTGCGTGTCCAACGCCGTTCAGCCTTGGCGAGCATCATCAGTGCAGTAAGATGGATGGGTGGCGGCGGGCAAGTTTGGAGAAGTATGAGTTGGATGTGTGGAGGTGACGGGAAAGCCATAGCTTCAGCGGGGGCTACGCAGTGAGTTGAGATGAAGAGAACAAGAAAGGGGAGATACGGATACTTGGCAGTCAAAGTCAATCCTTAACGCGGAGTATCGTCAACCGCCGAGCATGAGTCGTGATTCCAAGTCAGCTGTGCCTAGAAACTGCCCAGCTGTCCAGTCCTTCG